GCCCGGGTTGTCTTGCTGGAAGATCATCTGCAGAGGGGTCAGGGGAGGGAAAAAGAAGGCATCCAGGCAAGGCTGAAGGGCAATGGGATGGCTTTCCTGCACTAGGATGAATGCACTCAGCTGCGTTGAGCTGAATAGGCTTTCCTGATTACACTAAATGCGCTTTTACTGCGTTACACTGAATGCGCTTTCACTACAATAGGCTGAATGCGCTTTTACGGAATTAGGCTGAACGCGCTTCCTCCGCCCTAGGCTGAACGCGCTTCCTCCGCCCTAGGCTGAACTCGCTTCCTCTGCGTTAGGCTAAACACACTTCCTCCGCCCTAGGCTGAACTCGCTTCCTCCGCGTTAGGCTAAACACACTTCCTCCGCCCTAGGCTGAACGCGCTTCCTCCACGTTAGGCTGAACGCGCTTTCACCGAGCTAGGCTGAACAAGCTTTCACCGCGTTAGGCTGAACGCGCTTTCCCTGTGCTAGGCTGAACGTGCTTTCACCGCTCTAGGCTGAACGCGCTTTCACCGAGCTAGGCTGAACGAGCTTTCACCGCGTTAGGCTGAATGCGCTTTCCCCGTGCTAGGCTGAACGCGCTTTCTCCGCGCTAGGCTGAACGCGCTTTCTCCGCGCTAGGCTGAACGCGCTTTCTCCGGGCTAGGCTGAACGCGCTTCCTCCGCATGAGGCTGAACGTGCTTTTACTACATTAGGCTGAACGTGCTTTCTCCAGGCTAGGCTGAACGCGCTTTCTCCGGGCTAGGCTGAACGCGCTTCCTCCGCATGAGGCTGAACGTGCTTTTACTACATTAGGCTGAACGCGCTTTCTCCGGGCTAGGCTGAACGCGCTTCCTCCGCATGAGGCTGAACGTGCTTTTACTACATTAGGCTGAACGTGCTTTCTCCAGGCTAGGCTGAACGTGCTTTCTCCGGGCTAGGCTGAACGCGCTTCCTCCGCATGAGGCTGAACGTGCTTTTACTACATTAGGCTGAACGCGCTTTCTCTGGGCTAGGCTGAACGCGCTTCCTCTGCATGAGGCTGAACGTGCTTTTACTACATTAGGCTGAACGCGCTTTCACTGCGTTAGGCTGAACGCGCTTTCACCGCATTAGGCTGAATGCGCTTTCTCCGCTTTAGGCTGAACGCGCTTTCTCCGTGTGAGGCTGAACGTGCTTTTACTACATTGTCGGTAGGAGGGAAGGAAGGTGCTGAGGGAAGATGGCGACGAACGAGCAGCTCCTAAGATAAGCTCCGGAATTTGCTCCTGGAAATAGCTGTTTTTCCACAACTCCCCCAGGATTTATAACCCAAAATGACATCCAAGGGTAAGAAAAGGTCCCGGACCAGCCCCAGCAATGGAACAGGGTCCCATAAATCACCAAAAGCACGGAAACAGATGAGAATTGATGCTTACCTTCCAAACTCTCCGGATATAGCAACAACATCACAAACTGTGAGTAGCGGAGCACTGATAACACCTTCGATAAACTCACTTAATGTGGGTTCCCCCCTCTCTGACCAGGAGACAAGCCCAGGACAAATGCCAGAGGGTAATGGAGATAATGGTCATTTGAACTCTCCGGGGTGCAGCCCCTCCCTAGACCATGATATGCAGAAATATCGGGAGATATGTTTGCTGTCAGTGGAATCAATGATGCTGATTTTGAACAGACTAGGTGAAATCTCACAACAGATTCAAAGGCTACTTGACTTGCATCCCCCACAATGTTTTCAGGGAGTCAAGCCTGCAGAGATGCCCAGGTGCTCACATGCGGAGGACGCTCCTCTGACCACAGCTGCTGTTAATCACAGTAATAAACCAACAGTTGAAACTAAAGCATGCCTCACTCTGCAAAAAACCCAGATAGTTCTGCAGCTCAATCAAAATGCTTTGGGCTGGAACCATAAACAACAAATTGTAAAATCACTGGCTTACTTGCTCAGAACCCAGCCCAAACTTATTGACTTAAAAGGATCACCATTTTCTTCCAACACAGAATGGTGTAAAACGAATCCTCCTTACCTTCAACTCCCTTGAGATGTCAGACCGCCTAGCTCAAATGAAGGACATCTTATGGAACAGGCATGGCATAACTATCAGTAGGGTATTTAAGGATCTGACAGTCAATCATTTCATTCCTCGAAGTACATTGGATACACGGGTACAAGAAAGAAACCTAACACAGTTAACACAGCTTCAAGACAGGAATTGTCGCCCAGCAGTTGCTTACATTGATTTGGAACTTAAATCAGACCCTAATACAGACTCTTCCACGGCTCCTCCCAAGTCAAGCCCCCTGTGCCGTCGCGCTTGGGGGCTATTAGTCTTAAAAGGAGGATGGACGTGGCATCTTTCCCCCAAGGGATTGCTTCTTGCCCTCCTTTAGGAAACTGGAACTCCCAAGAACCCAAAACGATGTAAATAACTCAAAATAAGTTTTATTTGTCACAAAGTCATTTCTTCAATGCAATAAACTGGAAAACCCTAGAGGGGTGAAGGAAAACACACTTTACAGTCTCTATTAGTCCTGGGTCCAAGGGGTTTGAAGCTGAGAAGCCTCACCAGGTTTCCTCTTCCTCAATGGTTGTGAGTGCCGGAGCAAAACCACAACCCCAATTCAAATGGCCTATTTTGAAGATTCAGGATCTTCCTCTGGTGCCAAAAGAACTGGCTTGAAGGCGCCTGGGTCTCCTCAGTATCCGTCCAGGATGATCTGGACATAAAGCATGAGTCCCAGGGGTAAAAAACTTCAGAATTGGTGCTAAGAGGTGACTTAAAACAGGGTCCTTTAAGAATGAAGTCTCTTACTCACGTCCATGTTGCAGGAACTCTCATGGCAGAATGAAAAGAAAAGGAAGTTCTCCCCTCTTGCAGGAAGAGGTGGAGCCAAACAGTGCTGATTGACAGCTACAAGTAACCAATCCATACAAATATACAGAAACATGGCAAAAGGGGCAGGATTAAGCATGATACAACAGTTTAAATCTTACAACTAACAGTTCTATACATAGGTGGCGCCACTTGCGCCGTCACACCCCCCTCTAAGACCATTACAAAAGAAAACAACAATGACAGAGATCCATCTGTGATTCCAGTAATGAC